AATCAATGGGCTGAACCCATTGGTATGAGCTTCAGCAAGCCAAGGAATGGGTCCTGCACTTACATCAAAACAACCCCATGCATCCCTGCAGGACTGGGGAGGAGCGCCAGGAAAGCTGCATAAAGGGAAGGGACCTGGAGGTGTTAGCTGACAGCTGGCTGAACATGAGCCAGCAGTGTGCCCAGTTGGGCAAGAAGGCCAACGGCATCCCGGGTTGTGTCAGAAATAGAGCAACCAGCAGGGAAGGGAAGTGGTCATCAAGTGTAGTGAGTTTTGCATCCCTCACAAGAAGGACATCAAGGCCCTGGAGTGTGTCCAGAGAAGGGTCTGCAGCACAAGTCCCATGGGGTGCAGCTGAGGAAGCTGTGCCACAGCTATACGAATAAATAAGAATAGTTTTGATTACAGAGCTGAAGTTTTAATCCAAAATAATTTAAGCAGTAGTCACAAGTGGTTATGCTGTTTATAATTCATATAATAATTTTGGTCTATCAGTTTTTAACTGTTGTGTAATTTGAATTTAGTTGCAGTTCTCACGGGATAAAGTATATTACTGAATAGGAATGAAATAAACTATATTCAGAGTAGCTGTAGGGTGCTGTGCTTTTAAAGAATGCTGGTGAAACGCTAGTAGAAAATATGCAGGTTCCATTATACTGTTAATGAATGCACAATTCAGATTGGCGATTTAATTTTTAGATCGCGTTTCTCTGGTACTGGCAGGTTCAACAAGTTTCATACATGAAAAGTAAATAAGACGGTACGTATTTACACTCAGTCATGCAAAAACTGAATGATTCAGAAAATGGTTTCCTGTATTGTTTATTCACAAGCAAATTTTTATTTATTTATTTATTTATTTATTATGACATAGCATTCCAAGAGCGCAATAAGAAGGGCACAGTCATAATTTCTGGTACTGGTATTGAACCTGTGATTGTAATCTTAGAGACAACTTGATATTTACCTACAGCTACAGCCTGTCACTCTATTTAAGCCGTAACTAGAGCATCACTTTTTGATCTGGCCAAGAGCTTTCTTGAACTAGTCACCATTTCCTTCCTCAGACAAGGTGGCAGATTGGTCATATTTTAAACTCCCTTGGCTAAGAGACAAATCTTGAAGATCTACTTTCTGCAAACAGACCTGACTGATGTAAGACTTACTCCTGCAGTGGCCACAGCCATGAGTAATTGCCAGAAATCACTTTGTGTAATGACTTCTCACCTTACAATGCATGATTTTTATGCATTTTTTTATATTGGCATATTGATTGTAAGCTTTTCATACCATCCTTTTTTCTGAAATGGGAACAGATGTCCAACTATTTAAGAAGCCACCTATTAGAGTGGGCTACGCTTCAGATTATACAACCACAACCACTGAATGAACACAGAGGGCTCTGAAAATAGACAAAGAAGGCAGGTGAAATGAAAAGAAGTCCTACTTTACCTTCCATTTGTGCATCGGCTAGTTTGAATCCCTTTTTTTCAATCCCTTACAACTAGATTATCAGTTCTTAAATGAATTTGAACAACTTGCCCATGAGACATTCTAATCCAATCTTGTATTACAACAATACCAGTTGGATCTTATCCTATTAGGCACTCGCTGTAAATAAGGGATTTTCCACTGACTTTTAAATCCTTCATTAATGTGTATTCTCTAAGCAGTGTCCTGGAAATTAGCCATAGTGCTAGCAACAATTGCAGTTCACTCAGGAAAACCAATTTATTGTAAATCGTCCCATCCAAATTAAAAAATGTACAAAAAAGATAATGTGCAGTAAGTAAAACATTGTGCTATTGCATTATATATCTATACCCCTTGGCTGCCCGAGACCCTTAGATCTAAATCCTTCTCTCTGTTCAGGTGGGTTCCTGTCAGTCAGAGCTCTTCTGCACAGAGTGATCTGGTAGCTGCCTCTGTTCTTGTAATTTATGTGTTGCTTATGTTCTCTAGTGTTTTAGTTAATTCTTAATCCCATTTAAAATTGTTTTAAGTGGTCTAATGACTTTTATATGAAGCTTGGTCACTACCATTTCACTTCCTTTCACAGCTCGTTTGCCTTTATGCTAAAAATATGTGAGTAATGGGAAAGACGTGTTCAGGGGAAAGCAGAGAATAGGGGGAGGTTGTGACACATCTGTTAATTGACACCTAAGCTGGAATTATTCCTGACACATTTCTTACAAAGAAAACAATTTTCATACTTTACCTCTTCTCATTCAAATACTGGTACTTGTTTTATTGTTTGCAACAAAATCCGTTTTATATCTTGTATTAAATTTGAAACAAAGATTATTTCATTTATTTGCTCAGAGATGCAAATCTTGGCATGGTATCTTCACGTTTATTTTAATAGTTATTCATTTCTTTATCCTTAGTGTGCATGCACTTTTATCAAACAAGAACATCCCTTTGTTCTTGAACAAGTGTGCACATTCTTTCCCGAGATATCACTAGAATTAGTAGCATCTTACAAAGATAGGCTTGACCTCCCTTTATAAGTAACTGAGCAAAGTATCTTTCATATGTTAAGTCACTTAAAATGTATGATGTTTCAATAGTTATTTTCTTGTAATTTTGATTACAGTCGAAACTGGACAAAGAGGCTGTAGTTAGATTAAACTCTGACCATAGTGTGCTACATAAAGAGTAACGAGAGACACTGTGGTACTTCTGTAACTCGACCTGAACGTTTAATCTCTATCAGCTGAAGTTACAAGAATCACGGATTTAACACATCCCCTGCGTGCACCAAAGCACCCTTAAACATAAATCCATTTAGACTAGTTCTTAGAGAAAATAATTTGTTGCTATCACTGTTATGTATGCATATGATGCTTTCTGCTGAATGGTATTCATACACAATTCCCTAGTGCTCAACTGGGAGCGTTCAGTATTCCAGCTGCAGGTCATACAAGTATAACATCAGCATTATGGACAGAAGGAAAAATATATGGCACTTTGGTTTTGCTGACAAAATTGAAACTGTTTGGGAGATGCATGGCTCTTTTTTTCATACTTTCTTATTACTGTAAGTGCTTTTTGAAGTACAGAGTTAAGCTTTTATGTGCAGGCTTTATTAGTTGGTTACCTGGCTGTTTATTTTTATTCTGTACTTTAGGAAAAATGCAGGCAGAGATTGGTTTTTAAGCAGATATTGATTTTCAGGTTTAAATGGTTGTCTTTTGGAAGAAGGAAATGGACATTAGAAATTCAGTATGATGTTTGCAGCTGTCTTTTGCTATAGCTATATAGCAGGAAGAATGGTCAACTAGAAAACTTTTTTTTATGTATATATAACTTTCATTCTAAATCTGCCAACTTAGTTTGGCAGCCTTGCAGATTTACATAAACCTTTCCAACTATAAGGAAAGGTGGTCCTTACGATTAAGGCACTGAATTGTGACATAACATAGCTGTTGTCTGTAGCCATTTTGAATGCCTTCAACACATTATTCCATTCTATTATGTCTCAGTCTTCTATCTTTATGTGATTACAATAGGCTTTTCCTTGTTCTACCTCACATGTGAATAAATGTATTCCTGTATCAGTTTCCTACCTCACGGAAGTGTGGAAAGCGTACGTTCATTAATATTCTTGAAGTGTGACAAAGAAAAGCCTATTATTGCAATGTGCTTTGCTTTAGAACTTTAGTTAGAAGAATATGATAAATAACATTGGTTAAGCTTTGTCCATAAAATGCCAGGAGTACTGTATTTACATATTCAGACATAAACTGATGAGGTTAAACTTTGAGGTGTTAAGAGTCCTTCTCCGATGCAAACAAACATCCAAAAATGATATTTCACATTGACCAAAATGATCTTGTAATTGCCATACATATCATACAGGAAAGCAAGAGTTTTTTTTTGCCAACTTTATCCTTAGTTGTATGTTTCAGTGTCACGTTTTCTTATTCTCCTCATGTATTTCCTTCAGTGAGGCGAAGGGAAGCTTGAAATGGGCAGAAAAGAAACATTTTACCCATAGGAAAAGCTTCTTCCTGAACTCATTAGTAATTGCTTGAGAAATGACCATGAGCATGACAGTTTATATTTCTCTGCTATTATTTCCCCTAATGACTGTGGATGTTCTTATTATATTTCTAAATGCCTATTCTCAGAGGTGGCTTGAACAGAAGGTGCATCATTTTATTAGGTTCAGATTGATTGCCTCTGTGTTTCATTTAATATTTTCTTGTTCTTTCACAGTAAGGTAAGGTAGATGGAAGTCCCCAGTTTGCTTTCGATGTATTGCTCCAGGTTCTATCATCTGATAGAAAACCTCTGTCTTGATTTTTATTTATTTTTTTTCTTTTTTAAATACAAACTGTCCAAGCTAATTCTGGACAGGTGTTCCTCAAATTTCTCTGAGCTCAGCACAGAACTTGGGCAATCCTTCACTTATTAAAGACAAAAGGATATTTTAACTGATGCTTTCTAACACTGTATATATTTACTATTGTTTTCTTTCCTTGCCTTTCTTCTCACTGAATAGTGGCTTTAACTCAGTAATAGTTTTGTTTCCTTCCTTTAGGTTGGTGTTGTGTTTGGTTTTTTTTTTGGCTCTATATCTGCAGCAAGTGCAATCAATATAATTTCAGTTTTAACAGCTGCAGGCAGCTCAATACTTTGACTTGTTTTTTAATGGTCTTTGTGTTTTCAATAATATCATAGCAGAGACAGTTGAGGTAAAGAGGAAAGATGGGTAGCCTGAATGTACACATTTTTTCCTTGTACTTTCTGTTATTGCATGAAAATATTATAATGTTTAAGGGCTTGCACTGAATATCTAACGCAGTTCCTTTAAAAACTGACAAGTGCAAATTGAAAAGCAGTGTCCCACTAATAGAGAGTTGGAAAGTGTCACTGTACCGTTATTAAATCTGGAATGCTCTGGGCCTTGTATAAATTCAAGCAATACCAATGAGGACCTTAGAATATAATAAGCCAATTAAAATATACCTACTTGACTTTTATTTTCTTTGCAGACCACAGATGACATCCTGGTGGCCTCGGCTGAATGTCCCAGCGATGATGAGGACATTGATCCCTGTGAGCCGAGCTCAGGTGGGTTAGGTTAGTCAACTTTTTTACTACTTTCTTTTATTTCATATTTGCATGCTTCCATCTCCCAGAAGTCTAGAGGGACAGTCCTTTCTTACCTAGCATGGATGAGTTAAATCATGGTCTTTATACTTATTACACGTATGCCAGCTGGGAGGGACAGTTTGCCATATAGTATTCAAAGGCAAAAGCCTAGAATCCATTTTTGGTAGTTGTGATCTGTGCAGGGTTACAGCTTACCAAAGGCTAGGCTCACAAAGGCATTCTGGGACCCCTGTAACTGTTGTGATAAAGAAGGGACAACTTCAATCAGAAAAAAAGGTGTTGCAATTGCTAATGCCTTAAGTATTTTTCCCAGTGAAAGTTCAGTATTTCAAATATTTTATTATGTCAGCAGTGAAAGCAATGTTCATTTTGAATTACTGTAATAGATGGTAAAAACCTGAATATAATAGAATACATCAGTTTCAAATTTAAAGTAGCTTTATGGTATTTTTCCAAACTAAAGACATCTACAAATTCTCTAAAGATTTGTTCTCAATGACTTCTTCTCCCAGTCTGTATACAGATTGCCACAAGTCAAGTGTTACACCTTGTACATGGCTTTGTTGAGCCTTATTTGGTTCTGGATGGCATCCTGTCCTTCTTTTGTGTCAACTGCACTGTTCAGCTTGTTATCATCAGCAAACTTGATGAGGCTGCACTCACTCTTGCTATTGTCTTTATCCACCAAATAGCCCTGCCTTCGAATCCCTTTCTCTCCAATTTAGAGATAATGATGTGATATCCACGCCAAAGGCCTTGCACAAGTCCAGGTAGACATCAGTTGCCCTTTTTTTGTCTACCAGTGCCATCACTCCTTTGTAAAAGGCCACCAGATCAGTCAGGCACAATCTGCTCTTGGTGAAGCAGTACTGGCTGTCTCAGATAACCTCCTACTCATATGTGCCTTAATATTGCTTTCAGGAGGATTCGCTCCATGATCTTCCCAGGCACAGACCTGAAGCTCACCAGCTTGTAGTTTCCCAGGTCTTCCTTTCTCCCCTTTTTGAAAACGGGAGAAATGCTTCCCTTTTTCCAGTCTCCAGGGACTTCACCTGACAGCCACAGCCTTTCAAATGTGATGGAGAGTGGCTTGGCAGCCACATCAGGCAGTTGCTCAGGACCCTGAGATGCATGTTATCTGGCCCATAGATGTGTACACATTCAGTCTCAAGACACAGTCTTAGACTTGCTCTGCTCTTAAAGTGGGAGGGATTTTGCTCCCCCCTGCTCCTTCCAAAAGGTTCAAGAACACAAGAGATGTGAAAAGCCCAACTGCCAATGAAGGCTGAGGCAAAGAGCTCACTGAGTAGAACTTCAGCCTTCTCTATGTCTGTTGAAGCCAGTTCTTCCTTCTCATTTATCAAGAAGGGACACAGTCTCCTTTACCTGGCTCCCAATAAGCCTCTTGAATCCCTTCTTGTTATTTTTCACATCCCTTACCAAGTTTAGTTCCATCTGCACCTTGGTTTTCCTGATTGTATCTCTCAAAGTCTGGACAGCAACCCTGCATTTTCTCTGGGCCACACATCCCTGCTTCCACTGTTTTCCTGTTCTATCTCACCATTCGTCACTCAGCTACACTTCTCATTTTTGTTTATTTGAGAATGGTTTTACTGTTTCATTTCTTAGATCCCAACTTCTATTGGATTGGCACAAGAATTTTGTTCTCCATAAACTCAATTGTCTGGATCATTTTATCTGTCATTCTACACATCAAAATGTCGCTTGTCCTCCCACTCTCTACTCTTAAAAGCTATTAATTTGCTTCCTTCTTCAATGGCCTTGTCCTTTTCTCATATATGAAACATCAACCAAAAGGGTTGGTAAAGTCGTAACTTCTTGCATATCTGTCTCCCTGAAAATTTAATCTTAACCACTTAGTCTTACAAATAAGATTTCTCCATAAGTAGTCCTGTAGCAATAAAGCACTGAATAATACTGCAGTCCATACAAATAATACTCCATCTGAATTATACTGCAGTAAACGTCCACTCCTACCAGTAGGCTTAAACTTAAATGAGAAAAACATAATATTGTTGACAATGACAGAATATTATTTTCTTGATTTTTGGGGATAGGAAATGCAAAATGATATGACCTTCAATTTAAATTTTTCACATGGTTCAGTTCAGCTGTTTTCCCTTAATTTCTTTCACAAAACTCAGTTGTTTCTACATAGCCAGACCTTCACCTCCTCACTGAAGCTGGTGAAGCTCATGTTTCCTACCAGATACTTCTAGAAGGAAGATAGTTATAGAATCTATATGATTATTAGGACAATTATACTATTGTATTTTCACTTGAGAGGCCGTAGCTTGAAATTTAATTAGATGTCTTCTCTTGTTTAGTGATGATCATTCAGCATACAGCGTACTCATTAATCTCACATCAATATTTTTCTAGAAAGAATACATTGAAAGGATGACCAGAGCCCATTTGATTTTATTGACAGAGCTATAAGCGCACGTTTTCATGAGGATTGCCCATACTAAGCCTATTCCTAGCTGCAGTTCTCAGCTCAAAGTGGAAGACTACTCAATAAATCATTTGAATATTGTAGACCTATATATCATAGATACTAGTCATTAGATAGATGTTACCAATTAGCTAGACTTATGTTTAAAATGGGACTTACTTTGTTGGATAGATGTCTTGCAGTTTGTAGTTGGTATTAAGTCTTGGTCTGTCACCACAAATTTTGTTTGCAGTGCACCTGTCTTTGAAAGAATAAAAGGAAAGAAGCTATTTGCAACAAATTTTAAATAGGACATAAAAGTGTAGACCAGAGTAGGAGGTGCTAAGCAGCAATCCCAACAATTTGTCTGGGACATAAAGTCACAAACATCATAATTGCAAATTTCACTGTGACTGCTAAATGTGCCATAAGTGGATGAAGTCATAACAAATTTATTATCATGCGAAAGTTAGTCAACATATTTTGCTTCCATTATGTTTTGTGTGGTAAAGCAACATGTATTGCTTTTCTAATCTAAATACTAATAGCAACACAAATAGTAACCTTAACTGTTTCCTCCGCTTCTTGTGACTGAGGAAATAGTAAAGTTTTTTCATTTTGTAGGCAAGTTATGATTAATAATAGTGGAAACTTGACCAAAAAAAAAAAAAAAAAAAAAAGAGCTGGGATGACTTAATAATTTTACCTAAAAAGCTATAAAACTGTGGGTGGGCAGATGGCCATTTTGCATGCCTGCAGTGCTGTTCCAGCCCTTCCTGAGCTTTGTGCAGAGTTCTGATTTCTGTAGACTTGCAGTGGATGTGTGTTGCACTGTTTATTTGTCCCAGTTATGTTGAGTAGTATTTTATTTGTTAGAATTTATCTAACCTCTTCTGTGGATATGGAAAGATTCAAAAAAGCGGGGCCCAAACTGGGTCAAATGAAGTAGAGTCATGGAGTTTAATGGCAGGAAATCTTGATGGTGGTCAAAGCCTTATATGACAAAACAGAGTTTTTGCTGCAAATTACAGTTAAATCCTCTCCAACTCAGGAGTCAACCAGGTTTTAAATTAGAATTTAGCTTGAAAAATCTCTCTGGATGGCCCCATCAGAAATGGGACACATAGAGGAGGAACTCTGCCAGCATGTACAGTATTTGCTAGAAAGCATTAGCAAAGACAACCTTCATAGTGAAAAAGTGGCGTTTTGGTAACAAACCAAGCTATTCATCAGCTTTCTACCACCAGAATCTCATGTGTTGCAACAAGAGAAATTAATTAAGCATCTCATAATCAATATTTGCCTGGCTAGAAGCCCTTGGATTCCACTTCCCAAGGCAGTGATTGATTAGTGTCAGACCCTGTCCTGTACTCAGTCTCTAGGGAAAGAGGGCAATAGCCAGGGCAGAGTTCAGTGCTGCATGCAAACTGGTGCATTTGTTACCTGTCTTAGCCTTGATTCTTGATCCTGCGAAAGAAACGGGATTAGATTATTTCCCACATTATTATTTAAGGACCAGTAATAGGATAGATGTTTACAGACTGATCTTTGTGCATGTATTGATTTTCCAGCACCTTGGCTAACTTATTGCATCACAGAAAACCACTGGCAGTGTTCAGAAGTATGCAATGCATCAATGCAGCCAGGAGAAAGTGGATAAAGCCACTGCTGAAGATGTCTTTTATAAAGTATGCAGTAGCATTCATTCACTGCTCTGGGGATGGCTTTGTCCTGTAAGCAGAATAGTATAGGACTTTGCATGTGCAGACTGCTTCCTCCGTATGTATGTTCCCTTCTGTGTTATAACATGTATTAGGCAGATAGAAATAATGGCTAGGAACCATACATTCTCAAACACTCTGTGATGCTTTAAGCTTGATCTGAGAACTTATACCTGTTTTTTCTAATGAGCAGAGCTGTGAAATACGGACAGTGAAGGATTTCTGTCTGTTAATAAAAGTTTTGCACTTCTTTTCCTGTTGCAAATTATTCACTGTATTCCTGATTCAATTAGCAGCAAAACAATAAAATAAAATTGCAGTGTGAGGTGAAATTATTCCTATAATTTACACACAAGTGTAAATGCCTTATTTAATAAACTGATTGGAATGCATCATGCAAGGAGCTGAAAGAAAACAAAAATTACAGTTAGTGATGTATCAACACTGATCTCTATCCTTTGCCAGCCACATTACTGAAACACAGGGACGTTGAATAGAATTGTAGCTTTCTAGCCAGTCTTGAGTGTTCTCATACATTTCTTGTGTTAGGAGTAACTAAAAACAACATACTGAAAGAAGGGGTTTTCTTTCACTCTAATAAATATTTTTTTCAATAATTAAGAAAATTCTAATTCCTCTAATGCATTATCAGTAATTTTAGGGATGATCTGCATGCCCATGCTCTCATATGTGCTTTCTTTGTGTAACCTCAAGTAGTGCATTGGATTTATGAACAAAGAAAATAATTTTGAAGTTTATTTTTAAAGCAAACTTTAAGACAGAATTCAGCT